ATTTATTATTTTAGGCTAGTAATCTATCTATAAGAGTTATTCTACGTATTATTAACTTAATATACTTTAGAGAATGTTAAAGATAACTATAGCGCGTTATTATAAGAGATTTATATCTTATTTAAGAGCTTTAAGAATAAGCTATATCTAATATTTAGTAGAGAGCTCTAAATACTATTATTATTACGATATTTAGATAGGGTAGGTGTTTTATTAGGGTCTTAGTAAAAGTGATTAACGAACCTATATAATTAACGAACTGTCGCAGTATTAATAAACTGATTAATTAGTAATTAATTTATTCTAAGTTATATAATCTATCTAATTAGTAATTAATCTATCCTAGGTTATATAACCCGTTTAATCTTTTTAACTATCTAATCTTTATTGGATAGTATAAATAATAGATTAGGTAATTAAGATAATAGATTACTAGAAGTAGTAAGATATAGATTAGTAGTATATAGTCTCACTAATCTACTAATCTAGATTAGTAGATTGATCGGTCCATCATCTCAATACATTCCATTTGTTCAGAGTTCTCAGCTCCCACACGAACCTATATGATTAACGAACCCATGAGGTACATTAGTTATTTTTTTAATACCTAATTTTGGTAGGTTAGGGTGTAGGCTGCTATTCTTTTCTAAGATAATTGATTTAATACGCTATATAGCAAACAGAGAACAAAAGTTAAATTAGTCATCTCTTGAATAGGCTAGGGGAGCATCTGGGTGAATTCTTGATCAAGGCGCTAGACGCGTATCGGTGCAATAGGTACAACAATCCAGATATGCACAGCATCAGCATCTTGTGGTATAGAGACATCTTGCAAAAAGCTTCGTCAAACGTGAATGAGCGGCCAACAGTCGAGGCTCGGTAGAAGTCAGTTTCAAGTTTTATTTACGCTATGAATCTGATACACATTGTCTTTTTGGCTTATGATATCGGCTCTGCAAAACAGGCCTAATCATCATCTGTGTACGCGAAAAAATAGCCTAGCGCTTAGCTTGCGCTGTGAATTCCAGCTAGAAAGCGATATCATGAGAATTTTCCGAGCGAGTGCTTACATTGTTGGTTTCAACAACTTGGTCACTGGCAACCAACAGGCGGATCTCCGGCTCAGTAAAGCATCGGGTGACGAATCCAGTGCGTCATTGCAAGATGGGCAGATTGCCTTTTCTTCATCCTCCGAAAAAGTAGATGTTGTTGCTAACGATGGAGTGGATTGTGAGCAAGGTATGGAGATATTGAGATCATCGCGCCGAATTGTCGCGTATGCCGTTTCTAACGTAGCTACAATCAGAACAAGTCCTAACCATACTGTGCCATGTGCCTTACCATTCGTATACTTTACATCAATATGTGTTATAGGATTCAAACCACGGGAGCGACGTATGTGTGACATGTAGGCTGCGCTCATCATAGTGGCAGGTATGCTGTGATCCGGCAAATTCGATGTAAGTTCATCAATAGTTATACTGCCCTCGAGGAAGCTTAGCGCCTCCCATAGAATACCTTGCTTGATGTTCTCCATGTAGATACCAGCCGCCTTGGTGTTGAAACGCTTGTCTAGTTCGTCGATTGTGTAAGTCTTGAGAGGTTCGCCTTCGCCTAGTACACCACAATTACGCCATGTTTGGACTTCGAAGTGATTGTCACTTCCTAGCTCGGCCGTGCTAGGTTTGCTACGGTCATGTTTATCATTTGCCTGACGTGAATCAATCACGATTGTTTGAAACGGCCCACTTCTGACCTCATGAGCTTCGTGCTTTACTCTCCCGCAACCCTTGTAAAGATCTGGGTTCCGCCCTTGGTCGATCCAATCACGGCGAGAAAACCCGGTGTGGAGCAGGTTCAACTGCGCCATTCCGAGCACATTGCCGCGACTTTTAAAGGTGATTTGGAGCATCGCATCAACCTCTCCCATGTGTTGCATGTGTGCTTGAAGTTCAGCTGCGCTGTACTTGGCGTGCGTGTTGTACTCATCACGACCAAGCGCCTGACCGTGTTCTTCATGACTCAATGAGTACATGAAATCGTTGGGACAACTGAAGGTGGCAACCATTTCAATTTGATCAGGTCGCTTGTCCGCACTCCATCCTGCCTCAAAGAACTTGTAGCAGGTATCCAAGAAGTGATAGCCACTGTGAGATATCTTGCCGTAGCCGTAGCGGAAAGGGTGGTAATGCTGATCGACAATTTCATCCGGTAATCGCCACTGGCCATCGCAATGCGTCGAGATTAGGCTTGTAACAGGGCAACTTGTCTTGTCCCGTATATCCGTGATGAAATCCCTCGTGCCGAGAAAGCCAGGATGGTACCGTCGATGGCTGTTGATAAGATATATTGTCTCTTTGTGCTTTTGAAGCTCTTTGTAGGCTGCTAGAAGCTCATTGTAGTCATCGGCGATTCCAGCAGCTTTTGCAGGATCGATGCAAGCATGTCTTCGAGTAGATATAGGCTTGTCCATGATAACATGTAGACCCAAGCTCACAGCCCATAGACCGTATGGTTTATGACATTCTGGTTCCGTCGACACGATGATACAGTCTACACCCAGCACCCGAGCTACTCTTGTAAGCGTTTCGGTAACAGTGGGCGGCATCTGGCCCCCGAATGGTGGCACAAATACTAGGTGAGCATCTGGCAGGTGCTCTGCCGCATACTGCTCCAGGGACGGCCTATTGGTTATGATGTCGACTGCAGCAACGATCTCGCCTCTTCCATGGGCTTTTAAGCTTCGAAAGTGCTTGATGTAGGTGCGCTTCGCGTGTGGGCCGATTCCTGTTCCTAGTCAAAGGGCTGTCATATAGTTTCGGTTCTAGTAATCAACCCACCAACGAGCATAAACCTAAAACCTCGCGTCTTAGGAGGCCCCATAATAGAGTATTATGCAGTTCACACAGATTTTGCAGAATCCTAGAGCTTTGGAGAGGACTTAGAAGGCGTTCATGCGCAGTTACGATAGTCAAGGTCGAAGTGTCGTGGAACGGCTTTGTTAGTTCACACATGGTAATACTGCGCAACCATTTATGCGATTGCTATTCCAAGTGCTCATGGTGCTTTCGTCTTTCGTCTCCATCTCGTACGGTCATGGCTCACCATGTCGCGGGATCCGAGAGCTTGCTCCATCGCTCCTGACAAAGCACTCTTGGGGCATTATACGTGTAGTCTGAATTCCAGTCAGGCTAATGTCATGGCACAGTCAGACAGGGAGATTTCCGGACTCTCAAAGCAGACTCATATGGTAGACAATGGTTAATGTCCGGAGAAGCTCCTTAATGATCGCACAAAGTGTGGCAGGAACTTTGCTACAAATCTTTGGAATGACGAACCGTCTTAATTTCCTATTATCGGCAGTGGTGAAGGACTTTAACCTTTTCGGCTGTCTCATTACTATAACGCCAAAAAGTAGTGAGGTATTAAGCTAGGTTGAAGTTAGATCCAGGCTTTTGTTCGTACTGCCAACACTAGTCGTTGCCCCATGTGTGGGTAGCAACATAGCGTGGTCATGGTCTGACAGTGTCCTGACATTGGATGGAATCTTGTATCAACCCTGTCTATTTTCTGACTTATGCTGAGGTGTTTCCGCGCTAGAACTATACTTTGTCATCAACAATGTGATTGCGAAAACAATAAAGTCTGGACGGCTTTCTTCAACAAGCAAGCCTGGAGCCAAATCTGTCCTTCAATCACAGCTCCAAGGACCAACCAAGAAGACAGAAAGAGGCGTCGCTTGCGATCATGATCGGAGCCGCTGGTTCCCCAAAAGCAAATGGAGCTTCGCAGGGGGATGGCGGAAGCAGAGGCATTCTAGATGCCGCTCGATTGACACATGAGCTCACCCTCTCCCCAAGGCCTATACCTGCACCCGATTCACCGGAGCTCTGGGCCCAAGGCGAAGCAACAGACCACATGATTCTGGCACGTTACAACCCGGCAAATGGCGGGTGGGCTGCACCACAGCTGGTTCCTTATGGGCCCCTCTCGCTTATGCCAACAGCCGCGGTCCTCCATTACGCCACAGAATGTTTTGAGGGAATGAAGCTGTACCGCGGCATAGACGGCCGCATTCGACTTTTCCGGCCCGAGCACAACGCAATGCGCATGCGCCAATCTGCTGCACGAGTCTCTCTCCCAGATTTCCCAGCTGAGCAACTGGTCAAGTTGATTGCCGCACTCGCCGCCGTTGACGCACCCCGGTGGTTGCCAAAGGACCGGCCCGGCACGTATTTGTACGTGCGGCCAACGATGATTGCGACACAACCGTCGTTGGCCATGAAGACATCCAGCGAAGCGCTTCTGTACATTATGCTAGTGTGCTTTCCCGATTTCGATAAGCCGACTGGTAGCTTGGGACCTCCAGCACAAGGCGAAAAGGTGCGACGACCCGGTCTGCGACTCCTTGCGTCTGGTAAAGATATGGTTCGAGCGTGGCCGGGTGGCTTTGGGAATTGCAAAGTGGGCGCCAACTACGGTCCCTCAATTATTGCGAGCGCCGCAGCTGCTCACCAGGGCTTTGACCAGATTTTATGGCTTCTTGGAGGCGAGGAATGGGTGACGGAGGCGGGTGCTTGTAACTTCTTCGCCGTGGTTAAACCCAAGGGCGGCCTGGGTAAAACGCAACTGCTGACTGCACCCTTGGGAAGCGGTGTTGTGCTGCCAGGAGTGACACGCACCAGCGTTCTTGAAATCGTTAGTGAAACGCTTGTCAACGAGCTTGAGGTCGTGGAACGTAATTTTTCGATACACGAGTTGATAGATGCTGCCAGTGATGATAGATTGGTGGAATCGTTCGTCTGTGGCACAGCCTTCTTTATCACTCCAGTAGGAGAGATTAGTTATGAAGGGAAAGCAATTGTAGTACCCGTGGGAAATGAACGGGGCCCATCAGGAAATCTTGTCGAGCGGTTGAGGGAAAGACTTTGGGCAATCATGCATGGCGGCATAGAACATCCCTGGGCCTATGTTATTGAAGAAGTTGAAGTGTCAACGCCATGAGCGAACAGTCAACGATTATAAGGACAGGAGCAATAATATTATCGTCTTTTCTCAGTCGCGATTTATCAGTTGATACGCGAACAGAGCAACCGCACGCTGAGGTCCACCGCTACTACAATAAAGTAAAGGCCGATAATATCCTAAGTATCACTAATAGCTACCATAATGTCCTATCATTAATTCTTATCAGAGATAATAAAGTATAATTTCAATAAGAAATTTTTTTTTTATTCACTATATCTAATAAGATAATTCAAGACTTAAGAACCTCTTTTTTAAGTAATGTAATCATTGTAAAGTAGGAATATATGATAGATATACTAATAAGAGTATATATTTTAAGATACTAGTAGCTTGACTTAATATTCGAACTCCAAATATTAACAAAATATAGCGATAAATTAGCTCTACTCTTTACAATAGGAATCTCTAAGAGAAAAGACAATATATTGAAAAATTAAATTAAGATATTTATTTAGCATAACGTCCATTATAATTATTTTCTTAGAAGTAAATATCAGCCTGTACTATATTCTACTTAAGTTAACCTAAAATAGAAAGCTTATAATTGTGAGACGTTTTAGGGTTATTAGGCACGGGTAGAGCAAAACAATAGTAGTCTTGAGTAAACGGTCTGAATTTCACGTAAACGAATAGCTACCGGGCTTAGGTAGTATTCTCCGTGCTTATATATACTTTGATAAGTCAGATATAACTAAGATAGGCTAATAAGGGTCAGATTGGCCCTAGATGTGTAACGGCGCAGGCAAGACTACTCGGATCAATATCGGCGGCAGTGTCACTCAGAGGCATATGGGAGTGCGTGGGACATCAAACGAGCCTTAATTTAAATAGATACCTATAGGCCTTGTACGAAAGGATATTAAAAATCTACCTAATAAGCTATTATAGCGGTTAGGTTTATATAGTCGTTTTTCCTACTAGGCCAAATTGTACTCTAGTTCGGATCCTGTTCGGATGTATGTAGGAACGGGTGCTGAGCCGTTACAAGATGGTGCAAGGTGGCCCAAGGAGGGTGAGCTCCTGATAATAATCAAAACAACAGTTTTAATAAAACATTTTTTTATAAAACTATTAAAACTT